GTCACCACTCCGTTCATTGTAATTGTCTAAACTAGTCAAATTGAAATGAGACGATGTTGACTTGCATGGTGATTGTTCTTATTGCAGCTCTGCACTAAGTAGTGATCCTCCAGCTCTGTTATAAAGAAAGTGTCCGATGTCCGTCATTAGCTTCGGTGGGCTGCGCCAGAGGTCAGACTATAGAGGTCAATCAGCAGCTGACCGGGAATCAATCCCAGCGCTGCAGTTCAAATGCCCTGTGGCCCACTCTAAGTGTTTCTGAAGCAGGACTCGCTGTGGAGACGATTTAAGGTCCAGGATGAACATCGATTCTAAAGCCTTAAAATGGATGTGAAGTCCGTTAAGTGCTGGAGATGAAATTAGTCTGTGGGCTGGGTTCAATAGTTTAATGGAGCAGAAACTATACTGATATTGAATGAGCGCTCAGGAAGCATTAAAATGTCCTGACGAATGGTCACAGCTTCAGGAATTTGCTCTCAGGGAATTTTGTGAGAACCATTGTTGCCATTTTTAAGTCTTTGACTTGAGTTACGATCGGGAGCGGCGTGGCAGCGACGTGCTCAGTTTCTATAGTTAGCGTCATTATGACCGCTGGATAAAACTCGTGGAATTACTCAGGAACATCCCAGATTTCTAAGTGATCTTCACACTTCTGCTCTTCTGCTGCTCATTTTAAAAACCAGAGGATCACTTGATTTCAGTTCTTCTAAAATGAGGTTCATTAAATTATTATGTGGATGGTTCCTCTGAGCAGAACCGGCCCGAGGCATAAACAGATTAATAACAGATTAATCGCCTGCTGAGAGCCCCTGTGGCCACTAGAGGGGCCCCAAGAGAGCTTCAGACTGTCTGTGATTTATTGTCTCACATGTGATGACGACTTTAAACAAAAACACGATCTTATGCTAACGAACTACGTCAACACCAAGAAACTTTTCTACCCGAACAACTGCAGCTCTGTCACCGCGGTGAGTGAGTACGTTATCTCACTGAGAAGAACTCACTGATACTTTCAGACTTGACCTCCGAGTAAAATCTGGAGAATTGGTTACGGAGTTTACCCAGAGTTCCCCTTTCTCACACTCACAACACAGCAGGGGGTGTTCCCGCAGAGACCAACAGCATCAGGTCCTCCGCCTTATTCAGGTGAGAGGCGGAGCAGCGCCAGAGACAGGAAGTGACGTGTTAGCTCTGAGATCACGTGATCATGTCATGACATCACCACGACACCGTTGTTTGAGTTCGGTGGATTTTTTTTACAGCAGCAGCTCCTCTGGTTCAGGAAGCAGAGGATCATGGGTAGCATTCAGTTGTGTAGAGAGCCTGATTATTGAAAAGACTAAAGGAAATAGAGAAACATTCTTTTTCACGAGGTGACAAAGAAAGATGTCACGTAAACCCTCCTCTGTATTCTCCTGAAGGACACCGTGACGCAGGACATACTACAGATCAGTAAGCGTCTCGGACGTCAGGTCACGGTGACAGTCCCTCACTGCAGACGAGAAGTCACAGAGAACAGGCTCTGATCAAATCTTCTCCTGGGTTATTTGCCCCCAGAGGCCTCGACTTCTGTTTAGAGCGGCAGTGTTCCGCAGCACCAGACAGTCGAGGGACTGCAGCGCTAAAAAACACTGCTCGGAATATTTCTGCAGCAAAAACAAGACGCGACAAATGAAAGTGTGTTTTGCTCGTTATGGTAATTAGACTCTGATCGTTATCATAGTGCGACAAGAGACACTGCACTTCGCTGTCTGTCCTTGTGTTGTCCTGTCGGAGACATTTTGTGTGTCTGTGAGAGTGTGTCTCCTCGATGATTGTGGGTTGATTCGGTCACGATTGGGTCAAATTTCCCTCGTGTACAATGTGTGAGTTTATGGCAGGATACCTGTGAAATAATCCTGTTTGTTTGATTCCACCAAACAATAAGACGGCAGGAGCTATCAGCACTGTTGTGTCAGGATCGACTGAGACAAACAGAAACACTGCACAGTGGTTTGAGGACATTAAACAGGTTATTTGCTCTATTTTCTGATAATGAATCAACAATAACTCCACTCTTTTTAATTCCTAAAGAGATATTTCACAGTTACGTATCCTAACTGAGGCACGACCTCCCTGAAGATTTACATCCCGTGCTTCTGACTCCATTAACGTCTGAGGCGCTCAGCTTTCTTCTCTCTCTTCTCCTGCGTTCTTGGGATCAGCGAGTTGTCGATTGTTCATTTCAGTTTAATTTGAAAATGCTGTTTGCCTCCAGGTTTGCTCGTCAACGTGTCGTTCTTCATCCCGAGGCGACTTTGTTCAGCTGTGAGCTGAGGAGCTGACGGGAGAGGAGTGAAAGTGACCGAGTGTAACAGGAGGAATAATGATAATATTAATAACTCAGCCTGGATAATCTGCTGAGCTTGTCTTTTTCTATTGGGCCAAGAGAAGAATTGATAATTGGAAAATAAGAAACTGGAGCAGAGCCCGACAAATGCTGACGCATAGAAAATCTAAAGTATGTCTCTGAGCTGTGTTTAAGATAAATTGCACCATCCACAATAAGACGAGGAGGAAATACAAACTGCACGTTCGTAAAATCTAGAACTAGTCTGTCACTCGGTAGAGCTCCATCCTCCGCCAAGGCCCAACTGTCCCTTAAATATATCAATCCTCTAATATCGTTCTTCATCAAGATCCATGACTTATTCTCTCAGGATCCTCGTTTACATTTAAAGGGCTCTTCCCTGATCCAGACAACATCTCGGTCTCAACTGTGTCATTGATCTGAAATAGTTATTCATCCATTAAAATCAATAACGTCTTTGCATGAGTTCCCGACTCTCTTTATCTCTCCTCCTCTCCTCCGGCACCTCATCCCTTCGTTCTCAGATAACCTCCAGCTGTCGGATTCACTGAATATGAGCAGAGCGTCACGCTGTACTCTGACGTTCTCTTATCTCCAGGAGTCACATCCTCTCTCTCACCCCCCCGCGGACATGTATTTAAACTTGTTGTGATTCCAACGCTTAAGCAACATGTGCTTCATCACAGAAGCCTGTAGAGCCGTGTTCTATTTTCCAACGTATTTACGTCAACACTGAATCAATGTATTTCCAAATTGATAATCATAACTTATGTTTTGCTCTAGTGATTTATTCTTTCTTCCAGATGTGTTTATTTCAGATTATGAAATGGAGACAGTGGTATCATGTATTTATTCAAACGCTCAAATGAATTTAAATTAGACAAACTGTAAAATGTTGACCGCAGCAGTGTTCGGTTTGTTTCTGGGCAGATCGAGGTGCAGACATGTTCAACGTATCATAACCTGGTTAGAATATGTTGACTGGATGTAAACTGGTGGTGAAGCCAGAAGAAATCTGATGCAGCACGATGTCTCAGAAAGAGGCAGCGAGCTGCAGGTTTGAGACCATGATCTCATTCCGTTTATTCCAATGACAGATCGATCAATGAACATGTTTATTAATGGCAGCAGGATTTTAAAAAAATGACTAGTTAACTTAAATAAGAGCTCAGATCGTAGTCTGGGCTGCAGGGCAGGTACATATGGAGGGGGTATTTGGTTCATTGGGGACTGTGGGAGTTGGAACAGAGTTCAGTGTGCGTGTTGGTTGCACAGCACCATATGTGCACAGTCCAACAGAGAGTCAGTGAGGAGGCCAGAGCGAGGGAAGGCCTGTGGGCTGCAGCCGTGGAGCTGGACTCAGTGAGCGACTGACCAAACGAGCTGGAACAAATTCCTCTGGAGCCGTGTGAGAGGTGGCTCTGTCTGCGCACAGGTGCACAGTAACTGCTTTTCTTTCTGCCAAGGCAACGTGCTGTCTAATGGATGAACCCCGATTGTTAAATATCGAATCATTAGCGAAGCTCCCGTGTGTCTGGAAGCTGCTGGCGATTCCACGTATTGACCTTTTTACATTCACGTCCTGAGGGCGTTAAACGAGGCCGAGGCTCCATCAGCGGGCTGGATGTTTGACATGATCTGAATGTTTGTACAGGCCACACGCGCAGTAATGACAGAAAACACCAACAGGCGGTTTAGGTTCAGCAAAGTGGAATTCCATCAACCACACGCTGCGTTTGGAAGCGGGCTTCACACGTGCGGCGCCAGCTTCACCTCATCATTTAGGTGTGATGAGTCTGTAGAAGTCTCATTGTGCGAGCCGCACCGTGCAAACCTTCGTATTCGCCCTAAACCGCGGACATGACTGGCTTCGTATTGCAGGAAATCTGAGGGCGGCAGGCAGCCGTCACAAAGCAATTTTGCACCAATGTGTCACTAATGAGACAGAGTTTCCTGACCGCCGCCTGCGGCTGCTGCGGTAAACAGCTGGTAATTGTAAACACAACCACTTAATTTCCCTTCGGGGATGAATAAAGTAATCTATCTATCTATCACAGGTGAAGAAAAGGAACCAAAGATGAATCTGATGGAAGCAGATTCGCTCTCAGACAAACAACAGAATGTTATGTCAGATCAGATCTTTGTGCTGTTGATTAATTTCTGAATGTTTGTCACTGGAACACGGCTCGTTTGTCAGGACGGATGGATTTTCTGCAGAAGTTCTTAATCTGTGACCTTCAGCGTCACCGTTGGTGTCGAGCAGATCGTGAGTGACGTGACATTCTATGGCCTTTTTCTCTTTGACTCAGGATCACATTCTCCTCCTGTCACAGTTGAATATCAGAATTAGAACACTGAGGCTAACCTTCAGACTCATCTCACTGCTGACGTCCTGCTGCGCTACGCGACCGCTCGGCCTCTCAGGTCAGGAACTGAAATCACAGGCTGATCCTCGAGCCCGCGATTAAAAACCCAGGTGACGTGTCTTTCAAACCCAATTTGTTAAATGCCCCCCCCACCCCCCCATGTAACCGTCTTTGTCCTCATCAGTGTTCAGAGGTTTCGTTCTTGTTTTTGTTTGTTGGTATTTGTGATTTTGTATCTGTGGAAGATGTTTGAACTCGCTCGCTGACCTTGTCTCGTGTCGCAGGCCGGGATGATCCGCACAGACTCCGATGAGTACTTCATCGAGCCCCTGGAGAGAGGAACTCAGGAGCTGGAGGACCGGGGCAGGGTCCACGTGGTTTACCGCAGATCGGCCGTGCTGCAGGGGCCCTCCGACATTTCTGTGGACTACCAACTGCAAGGTAGGACACGCAACCAGACGAAGGGCAGCGGGTTACACGGTGGTAAATGTGCCACTTTGGCTGCCGTCACTAGTGAGGCAACTTCCTCCTGAATCGTTTCTGCTACAAGTCTGGAAACAGCATAAAAAACCAGCTTGTGACTCATCGTACTCACAGTGTCAGCTCCTGCTGGTGAAGGTTCAGCTTCACTGACCTCTGTCTTCACCTGGTGCAGCATCCAAGTCGCTCTGACAGGAAATAAACGCTCGTCTCTCGTGCCAGACAAAGCTCTTGTCGCCTCTGCAGGTTTTCTTCATGTGAGGGAGCGTGTGGGTGTTAATACCAGGATTGGATGAATGGTCAACTTCTGCCCGTAATGAATGTGGATGGAAATCTGTGAAGCTTAAACATCATCTGTTCGCACCCCCCCCACTATTATTACCGTTATTAATATTAATGCAAAAATCTGTCTGTGTTTTCTGTAAACCGTCAAATGTGTCTCCATCATTGTGAAGGAGATTCACGCCCATGACTCACGTCAATGTCTGTGTCATCAGGAAAAACCTTCCATGTGTCACTGTCTCAGTTAATAAATAGAACACATCTATAAAAGTATAACCACCTTCATAGGAACACACAGGTATTATTATTATTATTATTATTATACCTTCATTGGTGGTTTTACTTTTCTCTGCAGCTTCTGACAAAAACTAAACTTTTCATTTTCTTAAAAAAAAAAACTCATCCAACATTGAAAACATTCGTCCTGATTGCCGTAATGGAAACGATTTTCAAAGAGCAAACTATCTTCAGGCAATCAGCCGAACAGAATTCCAAACTGCATTTCAGTTTCTGTTTCTCCTCGCTGACGCACAAGCCGTGGAACCTGCTGCAGGATTAGTCATTATTGTGATTATTTATTATTTAACCGACAGCTTCAAGAAATGGTTCGACTCTCCGTGGATCCCGGCGGCGACTGTAATCACATGATCTATTTAATACATCGAGGAGAATCTGTATTCATGAACTGGGAGAAGCTTTGACTCAAAATGTCTCAAAATAGAGCAGCGATCACTGCCCAGGCTCTGAATGTGTACAAGTATTAGATAAATGTATGAATGTCATAGAAAACAAATATTATGAAGTTGAATTGTCTAAAATACGTGAAGCAATGATCTGTGATGTCATCGTAGACTTTATTAAAAGTCAGCTCATAGCTAAATGTTAAGTATGAAATGTTAATAGAATAACATCATTTGATTACACTTTTATTCCATTATCTCTTTTAATTGAAAATTCACTTTTTTGGTCATTTTTGAAATGACACGAATATCAAACATTCACATTTTTAATTTTTATATCCCGACATCATTTTTAAAATACTGAAACAACAACAGTCCTGACACCTCACTGCTGCTCATCTGCAAGAAGCTTCAGTCGCTGTCCTGCAGAATAAATCCAGGTCTATTACAGATTAGATTTCCCTGCAGATACAATGCTGATGAGGAGCACAACGAATATTTAACCACCCAGTGTTATATCAGTCCAGTCTGAAAGGGGTGGAGTTTGATGTGGTGACGGGGGGGGGGGGGGGGGGGTCATCTGCTTTGAATCGTCCGTTCACTTCAGCAATTAACGATGAACCTGCAGAAAACCCTCGTAGCAGCAGGGTCAGTGACTGTCAGTTTGTCCGTCCGTCTGCCGCTGACTGAAAATAAATGAACCATATCTTTTTCCATTTCTGCAAGTTCAAAAACAAATTGACGCTGTGCTGATTCACACTGTCCCCAGGAAATAGCCACATCCTTATGGCTCGTGACCTTAAACAGTGAAAAGCTCACTGACAGACCGTGGAGTGAAGTTTTTTTCTCGGAGCCGAGCTGCTGCCGGTGACTGACAGGTTCATGCTGGCTGCTCCCCGTGCTCCCTCTGAACTCGCCCCAGCTCCAGCTCTCATACAGGCTGTCATCCTGTGGATGTTTCTCCTGATCAACAACTTTCAGGCTTTTATTCCTAATAATTCAATTTAAAAACCTTCATCTCCAGTTTTGTACACGTGTTAGTTAGTTTGTCTGCAGTGTTTTGCAGAAAGTGGATTTCCAGGATGGAACATAGCCAAGAAATAACCAGTTAAATGTTACTTTCTTTAAAGTTGTGAGATTTCAGAGCAAAATTCATGGTTTGATAACAAAAATCCATCATATTTAGAAGACTGATATTTATGAGGCTGTGCAGCTCGATTGAATTGAAGGCAGTGTCGATCTTTGTGGTCGGATCTCCTCTCTGGCTGCCCTCCTGGTTTTGAATTTGTTTTACTGTCTGGACAGAAAAGAAGAATTATTGGAACACTTGCATAACATCAACACAATTATTGCAGCATGAGAAATGAACTTGGTTTTTTTTCCTTGATCAGTTTTATTGATCCTGCAGTTTCATATTTAAAAAGGATGTTGAAGCATATTGGTTTACTTCCACTACCTGATAACATTAGTGCGTCCTGCATTCTTTTAAAACTCTAATCAAAATACTTCCTCCACATCTGTAAGAAAGAAAAAGAGAAATGTGACATAACAACAAGCCCCTAGTTCACTCGTTGTAATAATGAGTCAGGTCTCAATAATTTAGATTAATTTGAATTTACACTGTGTTACATTCAATATTCATTTGTCTAATGAATATTTCACTTTCCGAAGCGTGAAGTCACGCCCCTTTAATTGTCCTCTTTGCAACGCTCATGTCTGGATGGAAGGAGAGCTCCGCTTCCAGAGCGGCAGGAGGCGACAGGAGTCCAACCGGGAGGAATGAGCGGTGAATAAACCCAACGAGGGTGTCGGGGGCGGCGACGCTCCTCTGCTCTGCCGATGCTTTTGTTTTTTTGAATTAACAGTGGAGAGGAAAACCAGATTCAGCCTGAAGTTGGACTGATTGCAGTGATCACAAGGGGCCGTGGGAGCGCGTGCGGTATTGTCATGGGTTTCTGTGAATGCTCTGCAAGGTCACTTCCTCTTACAAAGGAGTGAGATGAAATATGAGAGCAAAACACAGAGAGTCTGTGTTTTGTTTGATCCCTTTCAGCTGATCTGTGTTCTGCTGCGGCCTCTCCTCAGAAAATCGCTTCCACCGGTCACTGGTTGCAGCTCCTCTGCACAAACGAAGCCTCTCACCGAACGTAGAGTCAGAGCTACGTGCTGAATCATGGGGTCAGTGTCTCCCAGGGACTCGGACCAGCGTGCCCAGAGTAAAAACAACATGTTCTCGCCTTCGTGTCCATCGAGCTGTCGGGACGAGCTCTCGAAGTTCAGCGATCAAACGGACGGGTAACAATACACGCGGGGACACAAAGGGTTAACGCGGACTGTGGCGGCTGCAGGGGAAGATTATTTGCACTTTACAGCAGAGACATCTCTGATTCTTGGCTCTGCTGTGTTGATTGGATTTCATACCTTGAAACAACATAGTCTGGAGACCGGAGGATTGTGAGATTGATTTGTTTCAGACGTGCTGCGGCTGCCTCTGAGCAAGGCATGTCCTCTCCCACTGAGCGGCTGCTCCACTGAGCCCCCGTAGAGCCCGTGTGGTTTGAAGGGCACCGTCCCGAAAACAACCTGTAACAAGTCCCTGACATTAGATTCTGCAGTTTTTATACAAACCCGTTTTTTAATAGCATTTTTATTTTATTTTTTTCACTTTCAATAACTGGACCCTTCAGTGAATGCTTGAATAAACAGTCGTATAGACGTGACCTTCGGTATCGATTGTTTCAGAGCATGCAGCGCTGTGCAGGTCTGTTTATCACAGCTGATGGAAAACAAGAGAGAGGGGGGGGGGGGATGTGTTGCGTGTGTTTGTTTCACCACCTCTTATTTCCTGTTGTGACCTCAGAGCGAGGCTGTGTGTAAAAACAAAGACGCTGCAACTGGTTTCCAGTGTCAATACTTTGAAAATGTGAAAAAAAATTATAAGAACCGAACGAGACGGTCAATGTTCAAGTTGATGATAAACTTCGAGCCGCTCCCCTTTGGCAGGAGGTTGAGGGTCGTCAGGACACGAGCGCAAACATATGACAGGAACTTCACTGTATACGTAGAGGTTCAGAGAACCCAGGCTCAAGAGTTCCTTTATGTTCAATCAAGCTGCAGCACTCATTGATATCACTCACCTCGATATGTAAATACGTTTTTTTGAATTTTTCCCTCGGACGTCTGAACAAAAACAACCAACGGGAAAACAGCAACGCTAAGGAAAGTTGTACACAACTTAAAAACACCAGGTTTTAAAATGGAAATCAAGGTCGTGCCGATGGCCTTCTTTGATTGGTGGTTGTGTGTGTGGTGAGTCCTCCTCCCTGTCGTGTCCAGCAGACGTCCCTCGGCTCTTTGACCTCGACTTCGATTGATTCCCAGTCTCTGCTGTGACTTGTGTAGTTCACAGATAACTGATGTTACCTGCTGCTCATTGAACAGCGGAGCTGCAACACCTCTACCGGTGATGAGGAAGTATTGGAGTATTTTGTTTTTGTAATTTCACAGCGCTGCAGATTCCTCCTGCACTGATCCACACACTCCTCCCATGATGCAGCAGTACAGCATCGTTATCAGACGTTATGTTTTGTCTTTTGTCGTGTCCCCCTGGAGATGCTTCTCGTGGCAGGTGATAGAAAGGTTTAGTTGTGCTGCAGCCCAGTTAACGTCCCCCAGAACAAACTGAGAAAACCTTCCTGTTGGAGCCGGGTGCCCACGTTTCTCAGCTTTGTGATCTGGACTCTCAGCTGAAGGTGTGGGAGTGTTCTCTCCTTCGACTGTGGGAATTGTGCCTGTGGCAGCTTCACCTAAAACAAAAGATTATCCCGACGTTTATGTAACAAGAATCTGAATAAATAATTCACCGGCTCTTAATTTCTCAGTTGTAACGATTCTCTTGGTAGAAATGGGATTTCTGCCGACACCCCTGCAAGTCAAACAGCCGGGAGCATTTTCTGCTTTCCTACAAAACAAATGTCCGTGATTGGAGAAGCCAAAGAAAGCAATCAGGAGCCTGGGGAGTTACTCGCAGAAAGGTGCTAAGAATCCTCCAGAACATTTTGTCTTCGCGGCGCTCGGCTGGATCAACAGTGGGATTCATGAAGAGATTTTTATCTTGGGAGGACTGGAGATGTTGTGACTGTTTGAAACTTAGCAAGTTTACCATCAAACCTGAAATGCGCTTCCCCTCACACTAAATATTAAGAAAACAAGTTTAGCTTAAGGTTTCAATTCTTGACGAGAGCAGATTGAAGCTTCAGACTCTGTGACGATGAACTTTAATCTTCTTGCTCTTTGTTTATGTTCATCCCTGCATTTCCTATCCCCGACATATATTCTGTTTGTATTTTGGTCTGTTCAGTCTGCACCTGAGCTCAGTGTGTTTTGAGACACATGGTTTTTATTCACTTAAAACTAATAATTACTATATGTAGGGACATTTGTTCTTTTCTCAGTTTGGCAAATTAGCAATTCTAAATTCTTGTTTTGCACTTTTACCTGGATTCATCTTGTACGGACCTAAGAATGTGACGACTCTCATGGAACATCTGAAAGTGTTGAAGTGTTGTCAAGACGTCAGAGATAATTCTTTTCCTGGAAGTTCGAGTTCAGACCGAGTTTGACTCCAACACGGAGCAGGGTTGCATCACAAAGAGTAGAGCCACACATGTTCCCAGTCGTTTCTTAAGAAAACGGAAGAGTGATGATCCTCTCATGTGAAGAGAATTACCGGGAAGTGGACCTTGTTTTCTCAAATGAATTAAATAAAAAAGAATTCACACTGAACTTTCTGAACAGTCACTGCTGTGAGTCAAACACAAAGCTCACACTGATCCCGCCTCAGTTCTTCATCTATCCTGGAAAGAAACACCCCCCCCCCCCGGTGAACACTTTCTCCCAGTGTGAAAGCTGCTGGTCCTCCTGCCGAGCGAAAATGACTCTGGTGCAAACAAATGGAAAACGTGCCTGGAATGACAACGGGGACGGGGCAGATTGTTTCAGTGATAAATTGACACGCCTGCCTGGTCATTGCTGCCGCTGCTCATTCTGCTCTTTGCTCTGCAGATGAGAGGAGTGCTCTCGGGTGTGCGCGCTCACGAAAAGATTTTAAGAATGTATACCAATGGAAAAGAGGAAAACTTTCCATCCATCCAAGTGTGTGCTGTGTGTCGTCCTCCTGGGAATCCTCAGCCTTCTCCACAAACTTCAGCGTGTTTGACAAAGCCAGTGTTAACGGATCAGACGGTTTGTGTGAGCGAGAAAACTCAGGTGTAAGTGCTCATCCAGCGAGGGAGTAGTAGTATCCTTATTATTATTAGTAGTAGTAGAAGTATCCAAACAGATACACACAGAGGCTGGAGGGATGGAAATGAACCTGTGTCACTCTTTTTAAATGAGATTTTTCAGATTTCAATTTATATCCCTCTGTCATTTATCACTCTTCCACTCAGTTATTGCGGAGCTCACATTGTTTGAAATGATAAAAGAAATTGCTTTTTTTTTTTTCACATCATCCCAATATTCTCGAAAAACTAGTGCAAATAATATCCAGAGGCACCAAATTATCACTGTCACCGTGACAACAGTCTATAGACGGCAGAAGTTAATACATTCATATTTTGATGAGTGAAAAGGTATTACAGTAACCCAGGTGTGTTCTTATTACAATTAAAAAAACCAGAATACTCAAGAGAACACACCTGCACCAACGGTCTCCTTAAATCCAATCAAGCCGCACCAAATTACACACGCTCATAAACATCAGTCCTATAAACCCAGAGAGTTTTCATCCACATCCATGAATGAACTCTGAAACTGTTGAAAATGTCAAAAAGAAACAGCTCACGATGTTGAAGAGAATTATAAAGTAGTTATCTGGCCCCGACAGACCAACAGAACAACAGGAGTGAAACATGTCTCACTGAGCAGAGGTAAAACACACCACATACTTTATGTAGTATAGACTATTTAGAATGTATATATAAGTGTATGTATATAGTATAGACTATTTAGTATGTATATAGTATAGACTATTTAGTATGTATATATTATAGACTATTTAGTATGTATATAGTATAGACTATTTAGTATGTATATATTATAGACTATTTAGTATGTATATATAAATGTATGTATATAGTATAGACTATTTAGACAATACGCAGACACACACAATCATTTCTTCATGGCTTTAGAGGACATTACATTGACTTGTATTTCCTGGGACATGTTTCAAACCTCAACCATAGTTACTACCTTTCTCTAAAACCAAGTTTCAAAGTGAGGACCTGCAGAAAAGTAATGAACCAAAATTGGCCCTTATAACTATAGATAGACACACACACACACACACACACACACACACACACACACACACAGCCAACCGTGTTGACAGATGGGTGTGTGTGCTGCCAGGGAAATGAGAATTACAGTAAGAGCAAATGTCTGGACCTGCCGTGCGCCCCTGAGATCTTATCTGCTGTTATCTGGCCTGATGCCCGGGTCGGAGATTCACCCCGAGCAGCACTTGAATATTAGGTTTTCATTTTCACAAAGTGTTGAAAATCGAGCGAGGGAGACGGTGGGAGAGAAAAAACGGAGTAAAAAGATCCTCGCTGTAGAGGAAAATTGTGATTTATATTTGTCACACAGATGCGTTAAGCAGAGCGGGAGCTGGCTGAGAGAGGAGGAATCTGGTGAACTGGCAGGAATGAAAAACCTTCAAGGGAGGAAGAGACAAAAAGGTAAACGAGGATAGTGGAGCAAGAAGTCGTCACTGCAGCCAGGACACTTACTTCTGCAGCTATTAGGCTAATCTCTGTTACTGCAGACAAGTCGCACGTGCACCTGAAGCATGCACGGATCTCAGGACTAGTGAGAGCCAGTTTGAGTTCATTTTAGTTTTGTTTACACTGCACCTGGAACACCACATGAGGCAGCACACGCAGCGCAGCACAGTCAAAGATACTCGCAATACAAGAGAAGCAACAGCAACGTGAAGTCACCTCCGGCAGAACCAGACTGGAGACGGACACGTTGAGAGTTTAGACTGTCTTCGAAAAATGGACGCACAGGGTCCAGAAAGTCCTGGACACCTGTCTTCTCTCAAATGACCAGCAGGGGGCGACCCCACTGGTGTTTCCACAGAAGTATATTGAAAACGTCTCCTCTTCTCACTTTATAACGTCAGTAAACTTTGTCCTCAGGAGTTTATGTC